GAACTGAAAGTGAGAAAACCTAGGATCTTCTAAAATGCTTCCCTGTATGAGGTTTTTTTTGTGGTGTCGTTCATAACCCTCAATTTTAGTTGTTTAGGTATTTACTGTTCTGCTTTGGAAAACTATTAATGATTTTATGAAAATTGTGCTTGTCTATGGAACTGGTTTGTGGATCTTTGGGGTTTTTTTGGTTTGTGGGGTTTTTTGTTTGTTTTTGGGTTTTTTTTTGAGATGGAATCTCACTTTGTCACCCAGGCTGGAGTGCAGTGGCTCAATCTCTGCTCTCTACAACCCCCTGCCTCCCAGGCTCAAGTGATCCTCTCACTGCAGCCTCCCAGGAGCTGGGACCACAGGCACATGCCATTACTCCCAGCTGATTTTTTTTTTTTTTTTTTTTTTTTTTTGGACAAAATTTTGCTCTGTCACCCAGGCTGGAGTGCAATGGCATGATCTTGGCTCGCTGCAACCTCCGCCTCCTGGGTTCAAGCGATTCTCCTGCCTCAGCCTCCTGAGTAGCTGGAATTACAGCATGTGCCACCACACCTGGCTAATTTTTGTATTGTTAGTAGAGACAGGGTTTCACCATGTTGGTCAGGCTGATCTCGAACTCCTGACCTCGTGATCCACCTGCCTCAGCCTCCCAAAGTGCTGGAATTACAGGCCTGAGCCACTTCGCCCAGCCTGGAACTGGTATTTTTAAGTTCGTTTCCCACACCTCAAACCCAGCAACCATCCTGTATGGATTGGTCTTATGGATTCTGTGGTGTATATAGCTATGTTGCTTTTAGCTTTAGGGCCATCCCCTACTGCTACTTCCTTTGCAAGCTGCCAGATGACTCAGTGGTTGGTTCTTTTTCTTCTATCACCTTTGTTTTCCTTCATGCCATCTCTGCTACTGACGTCCTGGGCTAGCTCCCTATTTCTGTTGATGTCTGGTCCCTTGGCCTCTTTCCCCAATCATGTTGGTATTTCAAAAACTCACCTAGTTTTGGTATTTTATCATCATTCATATTCTCATTCATTCTGTGTGTGTGTGTGTGTGCGCGCGCGCGCGCGTGTGCATGTGCACACACACATTGGTCGCTTGTGAATTTCTTTGCTGCTTGACTTTGGGTTCATTGAGGAACCGCTGGAATGCCAAGTGAGGATTGCATCTACATGACCAGGGTTGATGCTGTTGCATCACACAGTTGTGCCTTCAGAGGATTTGCACAGTCACCACTTTCCTTTGCCCTTTCTTCCTTGTGACTAATTGTTGAACTAGAGCACCTAGGGCCAAGGGTCCAGGAGCACTGTGGACCCAGGCAGAGTCAGTAGGTCCTTTTGAATCCATGGGCAGCAGAGAATCGGCTTAATAGAGTGTCAGTTCTCCAGAGCTGGATCATTGAGGTCCCAGTCTTATGACAAATGACATTTATTTGTGAGTGTGAGAATTCTTCCTGGAAACCAAATTAGAATGAGTTAAATTCTGTCTGGGAAACACAGTTAACTGGCGGTGATCTGCAGTGGACTTTTTTTTTAGCCCTGTGTTCTTTCTTTTCTATCATTTGGTGTATTCTGAACCTCCCTCCTCTTCAGCAGGTGGTTTATTCCAGCAAATCTGTTGCCCTCCCCAAAGCAAAAAGCAGAAATCCAAAAGGTTCCTTAAAATGTCAGTAGTTAGGATCATTTGTGCCAGTCTGTCCCTCCATCTTTATAGCAATCAAGGTTTACTATGCTATGCTTGGATTTGGCTTGCTTATTTCTTCCCTGTCACCCTTTTAACTAAATTCATTTAGCTGAAGGTGAAATGTAGGTGCTTTATGGAGGTGTATGCTATATGCATTTTTTTTCTTTTGGTTTTTTGATCTGTCAGTAAAACTACTAAGATTTCTTCTCCTTAGACCTCTCTTGCTAATGTACCTATATCTTCTTACTTTAGGGCTATTCCTTATACAAAGGAACATCAATGTGTCTATTTCATTTATTCCTATTTTTAGTGGGAAGATCCTGGCTATAAGGACGAATAATGTTAAGTTTAAACCTGAAAAATCTGTCAGTAATTCACAGATACCAAAACCACTGCTATGTAAAATGTGTGTTTTTAAAGTGGTTTGGGTTTCTAGACTCCAGTCGTGTAAGACTTGCGGCGTGGCCTGCGGTGCCTGAGTATGATGCCCCACTTGTCCTTTTGTATTTTTTCTAGAGCTGGAGCTACAGAGCTTGAAATTACCACTGAAAAATACTGAAATGTTGGGCCCTTCACTGCTTCCTCATAAGGATACCAGAGGCAACATGGCATGTTAAGCATGACACTTGGCAGATCACTGTATAAATTGTTTTTCAGGAATACAAATTGGGACACTTCTGTTCATTTGACCTTTGAGTTGACCCTCAACTTTTTTATTGTTGTTTTTTCCCCTCAGTCTTCAGCTCACTGCTTCACTCCTAGTTCCACCCACTTACCAAATATGATTGACTCATGCAGGTGAATTAAACCATTATTGCACACGTTTTCCCTCTCCTCTCTCTCAGTATTACTCTTAACTTGCATATTTTAACCTGAACAATTTGAATAGGTTTGATATTCCCATGCTGCTTTCAAGCTTCTCTTTTTTTTTTTTTTTTTTTTTTTTTTTTAAAAAGTTTTTTTTTTTTT